ACTGATGAAGCATTGGAACACTCACTTGCCGATACTAAAAAATCGGAAAACAACCAACTGAAAGAAATCCATTATTTGTGCCCATTCCAAAGAAAGGTGACCCAACAGAATGCAGAAATTATTGAATAGTATCCCTAATATAGCACATGGGTAAAATGTTGCTATTGATAATTCAAAAGGCATTGCAGTGATACATCTAAAGGAAACTGCCAGAAATTCAAGCCAGATTTCGGAAGAGGGCATGGCATAAGGGATGTCATTGCTAATGTCAGATGGCTCTTGACTGAAAGCAGAGACTGCCAGAAAGATGACTACCTGTTTATTGACTATGCAAAGACATTCAACCATGGATCACTACGAAGTGTGAATAATATTGCAAATGATGGGGAGACCTAATGGTGCTCCTGGAGAGCCTGTATAGAGACTGAGAGACAGTAATTCAGACGGCACAAGGGGCACTTCTGCTTTAAAATCAGGAAGACTGCTAGGATTGAATCCTTTCACTGTGCTTAGTTTGCTGGGTCTTTAGCTGAGCAAATGTGATATGTGGAATGCAGCATCAGAGTTGGAGGAAAACTCATAAGCAACCTACAATATGCAGAAAATACAGCCTTTCTTGCTGGAAGCAAGGAGGACTTGAAGCTCTTACTGATGAAGATGAAAGATAATATCCGTCAATATGGATTACACCTCACCATAAAATAAACATCCTCACAAATGGACCATAAGGAACATCACAGTAAATGGGGAAAGATTTAAATTGCCAAGAATTTCATTTTACTTGGATCCATAATTCGTGTCCATGAGAGCAGCAGTCGGGAAGTCAACAGGTGCATTGCTTTGGGCAAATCTGCTTCAAAAGACCACCTGAAAGTATTCAAAAGCAAAGATGTCACTTTGAAGACAAAGGTGTCCCTGACCCAAACCCTGGTATTTTCACTCACTGCCCATGCATGTAAAAGCTTGACAGTGAATAAGGGAGACCAAAGAGCAATTTGTGCCGTTGGATTGCGATGTTGGTAAAGAATATTGAATGTGCCAGGGATTGCCAGACGAACGGACAAGTTGTTCTTGTAAGTGGTACAAGCCAAAATGCTCCTTAGAAGCAAGGATGGTGAGATTACATCTCACATACATTGGATGTGTTATCAGGCGGGACCAGTCTAGGAGAAAGATAACATGCTTGGCAAACTAGAGGGCCCGTTGAAAAGAGGATGCCCCACAAGATACATTGCCACAGTGGCTGCAACAAGGGTTCAAACATAGGAATGATTGTGAGGATGACAGAATGCCACAGTGTTCTGTTGTATTCATGGAGTCACAGTGTGTCAGATCTGACTCAGGCACCTAACAGCACAGTAAAAGAAGGCCCTAAAGGAGATGGACTGACGGTGGCTACCACAATAGGCTTAAACACAGGAGTGGTTGTGAAGATGGCACAGGACCGGCAGTGTTTCCTTCGGCTGAACGTCAGGTTCCTATGAATCAGGACTGACCTGATGGCAACCTAATTGAGAGGTGGAAAACAGGCGCAGAGCAGAGGTAGAATTCAGCCAGGAATGTGAAGCTGAGAAAGATTTTATTGAGGCAGGGAAAGAACTCCCGGGAGGGAAGGGAGAGCAGAGAAAGGGACCAGGGCATCTTGAGCTCCCGGGCGGGTTCCGCGACCCAACAAGTTAGGTCAGGGAAGTCGCCCCTGGCAGTGGGGCAGTGCGACATATAATGGGCTTGAGCTAAGGGCATATGTACTGATAAGGGGAAGGAGGGCCTTAGTTGCAGGGTCTGAGTCAGGATGTGGTCTGTGAGTAAATCATCTTGTTTTTCACAGACCCGCTTCCTGGAACGCTGAGGGAAGGGACTGTACAGACCCGGCCCAGAGAGACCAGCTCCTTGGAACACGAGGCAGGGACTGCACAGTCCAGCTCTGGCCTTGAGAGGCGGGGGAAAGGGGACGCACAATCCAGCAGTCTATCTTTCGGGAGAGCTGGGGAAGCGGCTACATGGTCTGCACCCGGCCCAAACACACTAACAACATAGACGTAGAGGAAAATAGCCCTGGGTCTTAGATTGAATTCACTTAAGGATCATCTCAATTTTTATCTGTGCTCATCGTTCCGGAGGATTTTCCGCACTCGGGAGAACCAGCACAAGCCCCCTGGGTTGGCACCGCTCCCCTGAGCCCTACCAATGGCAGTTTTCTATCACGTTTTCCCCTAGGGAGAACACGCAGTGATGTCTTTCTGAAGCCTTCTTGGTCATTGGCTTCTTCTGGCACACTCTGCCAACCACTGAGTAAAGGAAGACCCTGTTCTCTGACCTCCATGAGCTCCCAGCCTGACAGGGAGAAAGACCTACTGATTAGGAAGTAAGACAACGTGGATGAATTTTGACCGCATGCTGGTGATATAGTCACAAAAGGACAAATACTGTATGACCCTGCAGATGCAGAGACCCGAGTTTATGAGTGTTACCCAGAAGGAGAGCGCAAGGGAAGTGATTGCTCGAGGGACACTGAGCTTCTGTTACAAGTGGTGGAAAATGCACAAGTGGAGAGGGACAACGTTGCACAACTTGATGACTGTGATTAATGTCCCTGAAGGACATGTACACCATTTCTGTTGAAGTGCAAAATGTTCTATCTGTGTGCGTGTGTATTGAGGCCCGTGAGTTGCAAACAGCTAACATACTTGGCTATTAGCTGAAAGGGTTGGTCGTTTAAATCTACCCAGAGGCACCTCAGAAGAAAGACCTGGCGATCTACTTTTTAAGATTCAGCCATGAAGACCCTTGCGGAGCACCTTTCTACTGTTGACACACACGGGCCTCCATGCGTTGGAATCGACACAGTGGCAACTGGAGTGTGTGTGTGTGTGTGTGTGTGTGTGTGTGTGTGTGTGTGTGTGTTTAATATATCTTTTTACTGCAGTAAAAAAGACAGGCTAATGAGGGGATACAAGTAAAAAGCTCTGAGCTTGGAGTCTGGAAGCCCAGGGTCTAGATCCAAATTTGTATCCGCAGTTTTAAAATTCACACAGCTCTGAAGACTTGACAGTTTTCCCTAGCTCATTTAGAGGCAAAACACGATCTGACTTGAGATTCGGATGTGGTCTTTACACATCCCACGGTGTGTGACTTCATACATCTTCCTGCAGAAACATTAACACGTCTGATTACAGGGCGCTGCCCCACCCCCACTGGAGGCTGTGTGCTCTGTGGTGCTGGGCTGTGGAGCACAGCCGACCCCAAAAGTTTGGGGAAAGGGATTGTGAGTTTATGCTTTGTCATGATCAATTGAAGAAAGGTGCAAAGAGGCTTTTGTAAACGAGAAAGCAAGCTGATGTAAGATGGTCTTGAACAGCACATTTGTGCTGGGAGTGCAGGACAGGACAGGTTTTGTTGTATTTTTTCAGGGCCAGGACAAGGTCAGAAGGCACCTTAGAAGAAGTAAAATTTGATTTGAGCTGGGTTTAAAAAGACGAAGCTGTCTTGCTCAGAGGGTAGAGAAGGTGCTCCGGAGCGGTGGAAAAGGAATGCTGGGCTGAGGAAGAATGTGTAGAAAAAATGTGTAAGCTGCTTGAGCACATGGTCTTTGTCGGCCTCTAGCAAAAACTGATTCTCTGTCAAAATGCAGGAGAGAAGCCCTTGGGATAATATAGAGGGGCAACTAGTCCGAAAGCCATTTGCCTTGAGCAGGATTTGCCTTGGAGTGCTGCCTTGTGCAAGCTTTCACGAAGGTAGCACCAGCAGCGTCCTTGCCAACGCCTCCGGGCTCAGCCTGCCAGCTCCACCTCCCTTTGCCTGTGAGGCAGGTCCAGGGAGGTTCCATCCCAAACACCAATCCAGAGGCATCTGTGCACCTTGCCAGGGGTCAATCAGATCATCCACTTACTGCGTTGGGTGACCTTGAGGCAGTTGCTTGCTGCCTCTTTTGCCTCATTTCTCCACGAGAGAATGAGAATAATAGTATGAAAGCTGGCATGTACAGCACTTGGCACAGCCCCTAACTGGTAAGCACTTGACCAAGAGGAACTATTATTACAAGAACACGCTCTTCTGATTGTGTGTAGGCACTTACACTCCTGAAAAGCTTAGTGTCATGACATGGTCGCATCATGCTCAGACCCTCTGATTGGCAGTTACATATGTCTTTGGTATGTGAAAATGAGGTTTCTTACTTAGAAAGTACATTTAGGCAGAAGAAAGCATTGTAACATAAACTCAGGGGTGTGGAGAAAGAAGCCAAAGGAATGTCCCGTAATCCAAGTCTGGGGCCCACAGTTCTAGTCCACTCATCAGTGCTGCCTGGTTGCGAGTATGGGTGGGTGGATGGTTATTGCTTTTTTATTCCAAAAGCAATACCCAGATATAGTCACCGTAACCCTCCCTCTTACCCAAAGTTCCCATGGGGTAAAAATGTTGGTGCGGTGGCGTCTGGGCCCTGCAAAGGGAGTTAATAGAGACATCAGAGAGAAGAAACTCTCAGAAGTGAGCAGGCACAGATCCTCACCCTGAACCCGTAAATCCCAGTCACTCATACTGGCAGACATGTGTCCACTCCTCCGGGTTGGGGCCAGCACAAGTGGGAAACCAGGGGACTGACCCTGCTCCCCAGAATTCCAAAGAAGTCCTTGGGATACTGCATATCTGGAGATCCTGCTCCAGTGGATGGACCTGGGGCCTGGGAATCTCCATTCTCAGTGAGCACACCAGGCAGGCCTTCAGAGCAAGCATTTCTGGGCAACAAGGCCAGTCAAGGCCAATATGTTTTGACTTTTCTGTTCTAGACTGGGCCATGGGAGAAGATCCCCTTGCAGGTCAAGAAAGAGTTAACGTGGACCCTGAGCCGGTTCCTTACAGCACCTCTCTTTCTTGGCAGAACACTGGGCCCCACAATGACAGCTCAAACCACCACTGCCTGACCTACTTCGGGGAGACGATTTGCGTGAAAGACACTGTCTGGCCCTGATGACATTAACGTCTCTCTTTGGCTTTGTGCTCAGACTGAAGAACCTGGAGCTCGCTGCTGTGGGCGGATCGGATGTCCATGTGAAGATGCTGGCGGCCCCTATCAATCCGGCTGACATAAATATGATCCAAGGTAACCTTGCGTTCTGTGGATTTGGTTCATTGGCTTTTTTGCTTAGCTTCCCTCTGGTTTCCAGCCCTCCTTCTCCCGCCCCCCGCCCCCGTCAGATGCGGGTGTGAAAGCCCTGGGATTGGCAGCAGCTCTCCCCCACATGTGCCAGCTGCAGACCGGGTTGGCCCATGTGAGCCTCCGCCTTGGGGGGTAGGGGGGAGTGAGACTTTTTGAAGGTTAGCACTGCGGTGGGGGAACACCAGTGGCTAGGATGTGCCAGGCTCATTTCATGAATCATCTCACCTGAGCTTCAAACACACCCAAGGATGCTGCAGGGTCTAGCCCCCTGGGCAGTGCACATGGTCAGTGCCTGACCATTCACCAAAAAGCCAATGCCTTGCATCCACCCAGAGACACCTCAGAAGCACGGCCTGCCCATGTCTTGCCAAGAGGTCACAGCCGTGTTGGGGCAGCCAACACACATAAAGAAATGCTTGTGATTGTTAGCCCCGAGAAAGAGATGCAAATCGGAACAAGGAGCTATCATATCTGAAGCCAGCATTCACAGCAAAGTTTAACAAGCAAACAAAGCCAACAAATGCTGGTGAGGGTGAGGTGAGACGAGAACCCTCAAACACACTGCTGGTGGTACCAGAAAATGGCACGCCATCCTGGAAAACGGGGTGAGGCTTCCTTAAGAGGCTGAGATAAATACCGCATGCGCCAACAGCCCAATGCAAGCTACGTATCCTGGAGCCCTCCCGCTCATTACAGCACTGCCACACAGCAGATTGACGCAGACCGCCTGAATGCGCACGGCGGAAGAGTGAACAAGCAAACTGCGGTACATAGGAGCGGTGGCCGCGTGAAAAGTCACCGCCTAGAAAACTCCGTGCAGTTGCAGTGAGTTAGAATGGACCCGGCGGCCACCGGGACAGGCAGGAAGCTAAGGCTCAGAGAGGTTAGGTGCTCAGTTCACCAGAGGCACAGCTCACATCAGGCTTGGCTCGTCTGGCTCCAAACCCATGCTCTTTCACGGTGCAAACCTGGTCGGATGCCCCTCTTTGCCCTTCTCTTAGGAAACTATGGCCTCCTTCCCAAACTGCCTGCTGTTGGAGGAAACGAAGGCGTTGGCCAAGTGGTGGCGGTGGGCAGCAATGTGACGGGGGTGAAGCCAGGAGACTGGGTGATCCCAGCCAATGCCGGCTTGGGTAAGTGTCCCCAGGTGGCAGCAACCCTGCTGGTGTTCTGCCTGCTGAATGCAGTGCCAAGTTTCTTGCTGAGCCCATGGTCTCCCTCCAGTCGGGAAGGGAGGTGAACAGCGAGAGAGAGAGAGCAGAAATCCCCCGTCTCTTCTGCACCTGCTCTCTCCCTGGGCCTATGTTCATCTGTCTCCTGCTGTCTCTGAATCCCTGCGGTAAAAGGGGAAACGAGGAAGCTTCCAAAAGTTGATGGAAATTTTAAATAAAAAGCTCGTGGATTTCTTCCACGGGCTTTTTAAAGCCCCTGTGTAAAACCAGACGGCCCTGCCCTCCTAGAGGTTGCAGCCTAACGGAAGTGGTCTCGGAACCTCCAGGGGAGTGGAATGAGTTCACGGGGGAAAACGGCAATTCTTGCCACTCACCGCAGCATAGTGGCCTACATGGCCAACTGCACATCAAGCTGTTGGCCCCCACCAGCTGCTTCATAGGAGAAAGGCAGGCTTTCTGCTCCTGTCAAGAGTTACCATCTCAGAGACCCCCAGAGGCAGCTACCATGTCCTACAGAGTCACCGTGAGGCAGCATTGACTCCATCGGCAGGGATTGAGCTTTCCGCTCTCTGAGCGGCGAGACAGCCATGAGGAGGGCTCCAAAAAGACTTCCGGGAGAGGTTCATCAGGAGGGGTATTGGAAGGTGAGGTTTGCTAGGGTGTGTAAGCCATGCTGATATCACGCGGCGGGAACAAGGTGAGCAGGCGTGGTGCTCCGCTCCATGTGGGAAAGGATGGGTGGTCTGAGAACACCTGAGGGAGGACTGGAAGTGAGAAGCCCACAAAGGGTAGGGCCCTGCAAAGGCCTGGCTGAGCAGCTGGGGTTTTCCCTGATGGCCTGGAGGGCGCCCTTGGTGAGTGCTTGTTTCTTAGCAGGTGGTGGCTTCCCTGACGGGCCCATGGCGCACGTGGGTCTGACGGCAGGTGGGAAAGGGCAGCGAGGCAGACCTGCACCACACCATCAGAAGTGAAGCCCTCGCTCAACCTCTCGTAGCAAACTAAGAGTCCACTGGGCTCCTGGCTCCCCTCTCTCTGGATTAGAATTTATAGAAACTCAACTCAAAATACCAAAACCTCCAGTTGGCCTGTGGAACTAGGAAATGCACACAATCGAAAGCTTCAGGCACAGCTGGATCCAGGAGCCCCAGTGGTACATCACAGTCCTGGCTCTGCCTTGTTCTCACTGGTTCTCAGGTATGCCTGCCCCGCCCCCACCCCCACCCCAGTGTGCTACAGTGCTAGTAACAATAGAAACAAGCCATTAGCCACTCCCTTTGTGGCAGGCACTGTTATGTCATCACATAGGTTAATTATCCCTACAACCTGAGATATATACTTTTATCACCCCCTTTTGCAGACCTCAAGGATTCAGCAGCTGGCTCAGTCACCCCACCAATAATGTGGTGGAGTTAAAAAACCCACTCTTACCTATACCGGCCCTCCCTGGACCCTTGCCCAGCCCCGAACCAGCTGCAGGTGGGTGGGCTGGGCCACTAACAGCCCTGGTTGGCTTTCCTGCCCGAGTCTGCAGTGTGGAGGCTAGACCCTTGATGGTGGCCGCAGAGGTTAGGAGGGAGCTGTTCTGGAAAGACAAAGGTTCCAGGCTTCGGGAAACCATGACCAAAGTCCATGACAAGCCCTTTGTTTCTCGGGCCCCAGGGAGCTGCAGGGACGGCTCCACCCTCTGCCCAGCCCTCTGAGCAAATTGCATGTTGCAAAGACCTCGCTAGACACAGAGTGGCCCCTAGTGCCAGCCCCTGTGCTGCAGGGAGGACACTCGATGTGAGTCAGGCACAAGCCTGCCCTCCCAGGGCTCGTCGCCGCAGGTGGGGGCTGCAGGAAGGGGGAAGCAGCACCTAACAGCCACATCACCAGTGCTGTGTCCAGACAACGGTCCCTTCTCTTGGGAGCAGTCGGAAAGCTTCCCAAAGACCTGATGCTTCAACAAGATCTGGAAGACAGGCCAGGCACATGCCCAGTGGGCAGCTGGGAGCCACTCTGTGGGGGAGCGGAGGGCCAGCAGCAGAGTCGGCTCCTTCTGACGGTGAGGGTCCCAGTGAAGAGGGCTGGAGGCCAGGGGGCATTGAGAAGGTGGTGAACCATGCAAGGCAGGCTGAAGAAGCCGAGGACCAAAACAAGACAGGGCTGGAGAGGAGAGGCAGGACGTGGCGATCACTGGGATTTGGAGGAGAGCAGAATCAAGGGCGTCCGCCAGGTGTGTAGGTAATTGCAGGGGTGGCAGTGGCGGCGGCAGCCAGACCCGAGATTCCTGCCTGGAGAAAAGGTGAGTCTTTTCAACAAGGTGCCAGCCGGGGCGGGTGGAGAGTTTGTAATTCTCAGGGACTATAATGACCTCCGTTTGTTCAGTCAACATTCTATGAGCCTCTGGAGCATGCGGGGCACACAGCCGGGGTCTTTGTTCGAGTGAACATGGCAGGTTAGCACACGTGGCACTCATGAAACTCCGTGGCCGCATCCTGGGAGTTCTTCGTGAGCTTCACAGCTGTCTCTGTGCTACGAGCAGCCCCCTCCCACATGCAGCCACTCCACCCAGGGGGAGCCTGGGCCTGCGGGGGTGGGCACACCTGTGCCAGCTGCTCTTCACCTCGGGAAGCACTCGAAACCCTCTGTACGATGGAGGAAGGGCCCTGGCCTGGGGAGGGCCTCCGGGTGAGCTTGTTGAAGTCACACCTCCTGTGAGCCTCGGGTTCCTCATCCCTCAGGTGGCACAGAGTCCCTGCCTTGCTCCCTCCTCAGACCTTCATGGGCAGCGCAGAGGAGGGAGTGGCTGCAGGGGTGCTTTGCAAACTCGGAACTTCTGCGCACCGCAGATCACAGGTCAACAAGCCTCTTCCTTCGGGGGCAACATAGTAAAGGGTCAGGCCCTGCTGACCATCCCAGCTTCGCTGTTACTATTCATTTCTGCTGTTGTACAAAACCATAGCGACCACAACCCACTGCTGCCCAGTTGATTCCAATGCAGAGTGACCCTGTGGGGCAGAGTCAAGCTGCTCCCTTGGGTTCCAACCTAGGCTGTAAGTCTACAGAGCAGACAGCCTTGTCTTTCTCCCGAGGAACTACTGGTGGGCTCAAACTGCTGACCGTGCAGTCAGCAGCCCAACACGGCACCCACTGTGCCACCAAGCAGCCACAGACAATCCAGGAGCGTGGCCGGGTTCCAATACAACTTGGTTTACAGCGACAGGCCAGTTTGGCCCATGAGCTGTAGTTCACTGGCCCTGCGTTAGATGACAGGGACAGCTAAAGGTCAACAGGAGCCCCTTAGGGCCCCCTCAGCAAAGGGAACCAAAGTGTTACATGGCACTAGCCACTACGGTCATCTCCATGCAGGTGCCATTTCATGCCATCCTTGCACCGTGACGTAAGTGGCATTGTCTTCATTTTATAGGGCAAGAAACTGAAGCAGAGGGGGAAGTGATCACACAACTAGTAAGTGACAAAGCAAGGTTTTTTCAAACGGGTCTCTCCCGCTGCAGCGTCTCCATGTTTCTGCTAAAAACCTTGAGTGCCAGTGGAGCTGACCGCAGGCTCTGCCTCATCCCACCCAGGCGCCTTGGGGAGGAGTAGGGGCTGCTGAACCCCAGAAAGCCTTGTCAAGGGCTGGCTTTCCATGATTGTGCCATCACAGGACTTAGAAAACCCCCAAGTTCCTGCACAGAAAGCGCATTACAGAATGCCTGGGACAGGGTGCTGGCGTGGCTGAGGAGGAAGACATTGCAGAGTTGAAAACCAGCCTAGCAGAGACCTAGAGAATACCACGTCGCCTCCTGGATCCGCAGGAGTGGCTCAGGGGTCCGTCAGCTTCTCGGGCCACAGACCACTCAGCGATCGAAACACCTTTCATGTGGCTCCCACCTCCCCTCCCCAGTTCCTAGCCCCAAAGCCCTTGGTCTTTCCCCTCCTGGGCAGCCCCTGCTTCCCATAGTTGACAGTGTGGGCTGGACACTGTCTGAGTAGTGAGTGCATCCACTGGAGAGCTTTGGGAGCGTACGCCAAGGGCCCTGAGGCAACCCAGCCAGCGCTCCACACGACTGTGCTAAGGTAATAAAGGAGAGAGTGGTAGAGCCAAGACGTGAGCTGGCACCTGTGTGACACCGAGGTCTGTCCTCTTCACCAGCTAATGTGTGTAAGGATCTGTCACCCCTCACCCAATCCCCCACCAAGTCCTATTGTCCCTCTCTCCAAACTATAACTCAGATCCATTTGTGTGCCTTGTAGCTGCTGCCTGTCTTGGTGTAGGTCACCTTTAGCTCATATCTCAGCCCATGCAGGATCCCCCTAATCAAGCTCCCCACTTCCACTCTCTCCACCCTCCCCTACCCTGGTCCACACAGCAGCAAAGTGGCAGGAAGACATCACTTCTCTCAGAGCTGGTTAGAGGCTTCCATGCACAAGCTGGACGTGTGCCCAGTGCCAGGCCCTTAGAGCTGTGGGGTTGGGCTGCCAGTCAGGACCCTTCAGTGAAGTCAATCCCATGGGTTGCAAGCAGCTTGGTTTTTATTTAAACTACAATCAAGCCAAGTAGAATAAAAATTAGAATACATCACCTAGTAAAGGCAACTATGACTGGGAAACTTCTGTTGCATGTGAGCATGCACGCGTGCACACACGTGCACACAAGTTTACCATATCAACTGGAATCCTTACTGCGGGGTGAGATTCTGTGAGTTTCTGTGACACACCAGCCACATCTCCAGTCCCTCGTCCTGTCAGTCTGCCCACCAGTGTATTCTTCCAGTTCTGCCTTGATGTCCCTCCCACCTCGGTCTTTTCCCTGTGCCTAGGAATTGAGCCGCCAATCACAAGGTCAGCAGTTCAAACCCACCAGTGACTCCCCGGGAGAGAGCAGAATCCACGTGCTCCTGGCAAGGCTGACTGTCTCAGAACCCCAAAGGGGTGGTCCTCCTCTGTCCTGCAGAGCCGCTGAGAGTTGGAATGAACCCGCTGCAGGGAGTGTGGCTGTCTGTGTGGGGAATGTGCCTTGTCCAGCTTAGTGAACCCTTTCTCGTCTGCCCAGCTAAAGGGGTCCAGGGACTCCCTCCATGCCTCACATTTCTGTATTTGCCTGTTGGCTCGTCACCTACCGTGCTAGAACAGAAACTCCATGAAAGAAGGCACATGCCTGTGTTGTTCAGCTGTGATCTCCCGACCCCGAGTCCAGCGCCTGGCTCAGTCAACCTCTGAGCTGGGGCGTGGGGTGCAGGCACCCGGGTTCTGGCTCCAGCTCTGCCCAGATCAGCCAGGTGGTTCTAGGTGATTCCCGCGCCCAGTTTCCCGCCCTGCTGAGGGAGGGTTTTCACCAGCAGCCCATGGTCCTGCCGGCTCATACACTCCCCTACGGAGTGCTGTGCACCGTGCTTTCAGAGGAGGCCAGCCAGCCACCTAACCGCCGACCTGTTAGGTTAGAGTCACGGAGACTCTGTGTGGGTGGAATTCGCTCCACCAAGACAAGGCCCCAAACCAGGTCTCACCTGTAGGCCTCTTGATTCCCGCCTTTACGCTCTTCCACAAAACCACCCCGAGGAGGAGGAGGACTGAAGGGAAAGCAGGGTTGTCTCGGCTCCCCTGGCTCTCCCTCCAGAGCTCTGTACTGCTAGAGAGCTGCTGTGTGGCATTAGATAACTCGGACAACCTCTCTGAACCTCTGTCACCACGTTTGCAAAACGGGAATGGCAAAATCTACCTGACGTTGTCATGAAAACTTGGAGTTATTCAAAGAGAGTTCGAGTCTTCTTTACTTATTTTTTTCTTTTTCTCTAAGGGTGATCCAAAGTCCACTGTCCTGAGGAGGGGAACCTGGGGCTGGGGGTGAGCAGGGGTCCTTCCTCACAACTGTGAACACCTCCCCCAACCCAGGGACCTGGCAGACCGAGGCTGTCTTCCACGAAGAAGCGCTGATGAGCGTTCCGAGTGACATCCCCCTCCACAGTGCTGCCACCCTGAGTGTCAACCCCTGCACTGCCTACAGGATGCTGGTGGACTTTGAGCAGCTGCAGCCAGGTAGGGCACCCAGGGCTCCCCCCTGCAGCGTGGTCACTGGGAGTATGAGAGGAAAAGGGTCCCCAGCCCCACCAAGTGTGCTGTGGCTGCTCTTATCTAGAAAGAGGTCACTAAAGGTCCAGGGAAGCTGCCAAAACCTCACGAGGAATTCACTCAGAAGAGCCACAGGGCCTCACACACCCGAGAGATTGGGTGAGATGCTTTCATTCAGCAAAAAACGCTTCCAGCCCTGCTGAGCTGAGCTGGGATCTAGAGCAGGGCGTGGACTCCAGGAGAGCGCTGAGGTCGGTGTTTCCACCGCACACGGAGACAGCACTTTCCCCTGCGGATGGAGCAGCGGGGCCAGGCTGGTGTCGCTGGACCTGCTTACCAGCTCGAGCCAGGCCACCGAGGCCCCGGCGCAAGCAACGCCCTTTACTAGTTAGGTGACTTGACCTGTGAAATCATCAGATTCTTCCCCCGTGGAATGGAGACTCCAGAGCGCTAAGGCTTCACGGAAACACTGCCAGGTAGCCCTCAGCACTGTGCCCGGCACACAGGACAGTGACCGTCCCCTGTCATCACTCTTCCTTTTTAGAAGGGAGGAAACGGGGTCAGAGAGGCAAGTTATTTGCAGGAGATCAGCCATCAAGTAACTGAGTGTCTTATGTGGGGTCCCCGGAGGCAGAGCCTAGGACTAGGGAGGACAGTCCCTTGGGTGGTGTTCTCAGGGAGGAGGGCAGCACCATAGGCTCAGCCCAGCTGGGATTCTCTAAAGAACCCTGCTTCAGCGTGAACCAACAAAGAACAGACTGGGCCCGTTCCCCACCCACTCCCATCCCCCATGGTGTCAGAATTGCCCCAAGGGTCACCAAGTATCCCCCCAGATGCCCCGTACACCTCATGTATATCCTTGAGCGGGCAGGGGTTGTAGAACTCACACAGTCTAGCTCCCATCCTGAGAGGGAAACGGAGGCCAAGAGAGGTGGGAGTAGGGAAGGTGGAGGCTGGGAGCCTTCAGTGGAGCAGGCATCACCCAGGACCTTTGCTCAGTGGGCACTGTTTTCAGCTGTGGTGGACAGACTGCCTGCTGGACATCTTCCCCTCTGCCTCATGGCCAAGCAAGCTTACAGGTGAAGATTCTGACCTACTGCAAGAACGATGCTGTGCATTGCAACTGAGCATATGTACAGTTGGCTCCCGGTGCCCTCGGGAGGTTGGTCCCAGGCTTCCTCCTCCATCCGTGGGTGCTCAAGTCCCTTCTTTGAAATCAGGGTAGTGTTTGCTCACAACCCATGCACATCCCTAGATTACTTAAAATACCTAGGACCATGTAAATGCTATCGAAAGAGCTCTTTAGACTCTCTTAGCCTTGAGGCATTGTTCAATGACTGAACTTTTACTTGCCATCCTCCCCCCGTCCCCAAATTTTCCATCACCTTGAGTTGTTTGAATGACAGATGCAGAGCCCATTGATATTGAGGGCTGACTGCATATGAAGATCAAACATTCAAGGAACAACATATGCCTTTACTATATGCAGTGCAGGAGCCCAGGGTCACAGGTGAGCTGCTATCACAAGGTCAGCAGTTGGAAACCACCAGCGGCTCTGTGCAAGAAAGGTGAGACTGTCACTCCCTTAACGAGTTACGGCCTCAGAAACTCACAGGGGCCCTTCTACTCTGCCCTACACGGTCGCTGTGAGTTAGAATCAACTCGATGGCAGTGAGGTTTTGAATGTGTATAAAGCACTGTTGTTGGTGGTGTTGTTTTTGAATTATATTCACCTTGGTTTTAGTTAAAGAATTTTTAAATGCTGTTGGCCACCCACTAGGCTGATTTCATAATCCACTAATGGGTGGCTAGTTGCATGCTGTCCCCACTGAGGAGAACAGGCTTGCTCCTTCCATGAAGTACGCTGTCCCTAGCTCCATTCCATTGTATCAGATCCCTGTTCCCTCTGCAAAACCAGGTAGCATTTGGGTCTCACAAAGCCCTCCCTGAACACAATGGCTTGTGACCCTAATGATAGCCCTGATTGGTGTCCCTGGGACTCCTGTTTTATGGGGAGGAAACTAAACTTCAAAGAGGCCCTGGTTTGGCCATCTCACAGGTATAGTAAGAGGCGCCGCTGGAACCCACACCCAGGCCCATGACTCTCTACAGCCCACGTTTTCCCCAGCACACCGTGCTGCTGTCCCCATTGGCCAACTCCAGAGCCAGGTTTGAGGCTTTGACCACACAGAGTCTGCTGGACCCCGGGGCCCAGGTGGCCAGGTGCTCGAGCACTGTTCTAATCTCAGGTCATGGCAGTGCCCCTTGACTGAATGATGCAGACGAGAATAACACGTGGCCCTTCCCCTCACGAAGCTGTGGATAGAAATGGACCTAGACACACCGAGCAGAAGACGGGGCAGACACAGGTGTGCGTTCGTAGTGTGCTGGGGGCTGGGGTTGCCCAGAGAGGGAGAGGCCGGGACGGCTTGTTGAAGGAAGCTCCACTGAGCAGAGTGCTTCGAAGGAGCCAGAGGTTTCCAGGGGAAGGGCCAGGGAAAGGACAGCAGCTGAACAAAGACTTGAAGAGAGAAGGAGCATGGGTATAAAACCATTTGGACACAGGGTTTAAATGACAGTCAGTATGGACTAAGTTGCCACAACTGGGCAGGCATTGTCTGTGTGTGGAAGCTGGAGGGCGGGGGCCAGGACTGGGGAGATGTGAGCATCAGCGGCCCAAGGCACCAGGAGACTCAGCAGCCAGACCTGGGTCCCCTGAGCCATGGGCTCAATCTCTTGTCCTATGTCAGGATCCCAGACTGGGAGCCCAGGCCTTGACTTGGGTCTCTTCCTGGCTCTGCAGGGGACTCTGTCATCCAGAATGCGGCCAACAGCGGAGTGGGGCAGGCAGTCATCCAGCTCGCCGCCGCCCTGGGCCTGAGGACCATCAATGTGGTCCGAGACAGGTGCGTGGGGAGCAAGCCTCTTTCCAGACCACCTGGCCGTGTGAAAAGTGCCAATCCTTCGACTTCCACTTTCCAGTTACAGCCCCGCAGGTGCCCACATATCCACCAGAGGGCACCCGTGCACAAGCTGCTGACCGCCATCAGGTAGTTGAGACAGATGAGTCAGCCTCAGAAATGCAGTCCAGGTGGCTTTGGGCTATGGGATGGATGAGTGAGTTTTTGAAATAGAAAGGGAGGGCGGGAAGGAGGAGTGGACTCAGCCCTCGGTCAACAGCTAAGAGTCCCTGAGACTCCTCACTTGTGATGACCCCATGTTCTCAAAGTCACAGTTCACCTTGGGGAATGTTTTCTGCTGCCCTTCTTTCTGAGCGCTCTCCCCTCCACCCCACCCCAAAACTCCCACCCCGTGACTTTGGGGGTCCTCTGCAATGTACTGAATCCAGATGGGGCCGGTGTGCCGTCTGTCATTTACGGCAGCAGCTAGGCAGTAACAGACTGAGTTTGCTGAGGCGGTCTCTGCCCATCATATCCTCCAGGTCCCTAGCCTCCAGTCCCCACGTCTGTCAAGAAGTCCAGCCTCAGTAGAAGAATCTCTGCCTGCCTCAGTTCCCCCAGTGCTCGCCACTGTGTGCCGAGAGCCACTCCAGGGCCGGTGTGTGTCGCCTCCGGAGAAAGAAACCGGGCTGGCGGGGCAGTGGTAGAAATCACCAGGGCTAGCGCGCACACCAGTGAGGAAACGAGGCTGAGAGGTGTCGGAGGATGATAGTCAGTATCATCCTGCGTGGTTTAAACCCAGCCCCAGATTCCCTCAGGGAGAACCCTGGGCTCTGAGGACAGCGGCAGAGAGGCAGAGAAAGCGAGCAAGTATGACCGAGGGCCTTGGACGGTGTTTGCTTTCCAGACCTGACATCCAGAAGCTGACCGACAGACTGAAGCGTCTGGGAGCGGAGCACATCGTCACAGAGGAGGAACTCCGAAAGCCTGACATGAAGAACATCTTTAAGGTACCTGGGACGAGAGAAATTGCCCCTCTATCCCCCACTGACATCCTGGAGAAAGGTGACTGGGTTTACAACAGCTGGGGACTGGCCCTGTGTTGGTGCCCTCCAGGGGCCTCTGCTGGCTCTCAGAAGGAGAAAGCCAGTCACCCTGAGCCAAGGGGTAGCCTGAGGGGCCCAGTGGGTCATGCAAGGTGGGGGAGGCAAGAGCCCCAGGGAACATTCAGGAAGTCCTGTGTGAGTTGCAATTTTGGACCACATCAGCCCAGAGATTGGAGAGAAGGCCTGAGGACACTGAGATACCTAGAGGGCGGGAAGGGACCGGAAGTAAGGCTTCCTGAGCACCCAACTCACACTTCATCCACACTAGCTCCATAAGGTGGCAGCATCTATTGTGTATGTAGAAGGAACCGGACTCTGAGGTCAAGAACCTGCCCAAGACCACGTGGGTAGCAAATGCTGGAATCCGGTCCAGGCCCAGGGCTCTATCCCCGAATCTGGCTAACATCCCAGAACACCCATCACCCATCACTAAGCACAGGCTCAGGAAGTGAACAAACTCAGAGGTCCCTGGCTGAGGGAGAGCGTACCCACCCGCACTCCCGCGAGAGCACCCTGGACCAACGTTCTGAAGCAGCAGATCAGCACGTCGGACGTCAGCTGAGAAGGGGAGCGCTTGGGAGATGAGGTCCAAGGCCGAATGGAGACAGACGCCCTTTGTCTAGTAGAATGGGTTTGCAGCAAGACCTGAGGTGCACGAGAGGATTACAGTGGCAAAAAGAGACCTGTCCTGGGTAGAGAAAAGAATTCAAAGACGTGAGGATCCTTACCCCTCCCACCCGCCTTGGCCCCAGCAGTGGGTCAGGGAAGTGCTGGTGGGAACAGGCTACAGGCCCCGCCTGGAGAGAGGTCTCTTCTCACTGGGGCTTCTGTACTTTGCAGGCCACACCCCAGCCTCGGCTTGCTCTCAACTGTGTCGGCGGGAAAAGCTCCACTGAGCTGCTGCGGCAGTTAGCGTAAGTTCCTCAGCCCACAAGCCCCAGCCACCCGAGCACCCAGGCCGTTAGCCAGGAGGACCGTTCGGTGACCTGGTCCCAGTAGCCAGTGCGAGTCAAGGCCAGGTCAGCATGACATTGAGTGAGGAACTAGACCAAAGTCAGCCCTTCTGGTTCTCTGAGCACCTCCTTTCACCTACTCCCTTGTATGTGGCCCAGAGGTCTGGCGGGCCTTCTGTTGTCATGGGCACTCAGGAAACAGCCTACTAAGCTGTCTGTGAGGAGCCCTGGTGCTGTAGTGGCTGTGCTTCGGACTGCTAACTGCAAGGTCAACAGTTCGGAACCACCAGTCGTTCCTTGGAAGAAAGACAAGGCTTTCTACTCCCATAAAGAGTTCCAACCTCAGAAACTCACAGGGCAGTTGTGCCCTGTCCTATGGGGTCAGTAATGAGTCGGCATCAACTTGAAGCGGTCTGTGACAGGGGGGTGGCCACAAAGAGTCAGAGCTTAGGGCATCTTAAAGCCACTTCACTTAAGCTTTAAAAATTTTTATTAGCTTTTAAAATGTTAGATTCTCATTTTAGAGGGAATATAGTATTTATTACAAAACCATTTGGAAACAAAAGTACAAACAAAATGCTAAGGTGGGGAAGTTGCCTGTCACCCCGCCGCCCAGGTGGCAGCAGGGCCTGCCCAGCCCCCCAGCCCTTTCCAGTTCCGTCCAGCTGCGTAGGGAGTCCCTGTGAAGGCGGTGGCTGAGACCATTCCCTCCAGGCCTCCCGTCAAGGAGGCTCTGAGGGAGAGGTGTTCGTGCCTCTGGGCACGTCTCTCTCCCAGCTGCTGGTGGCTGTGAGTAGACACACCGCTCCTGTCTCTGCCTCTGTCTTCCCTCCTACCACCCTCGCTGGGCAGCCTTCGCGTAGGGACTACAAGTGTAGGTCTGGGAGTCTGACTGGCCAGGTTCAAGTCCCAGCTCTGCCGTACTGAGAAACCATGAAAACCTTGTGAGGCACAACGCATGAAAACCGGTCCAAGTCTTGGTCTCTTCATCTGTAAAACGGGAGTGCTGGAATGCCTCTCTGCCTCAGGAAGTCCTCGCTGAGGTGGCAGGCACAAAGCTGGACAAGGGAGGAGAGCGGGACCTCTCTTTCGTCTTCTGTGCCACGAGGTCATGCTGTACTGCCCTGAAATGCAGTGAGGATTCACTGACACTGCATGCTTACACAGCTGTGAACTACCACTGCCATTGAGTTGATTCCGACTCATAGTGACCTTACAGGGCTCAGGAGAACTGCCCGTGTGGGGTTCCGAGACCGTAACTTCTTACAGGAGTAGACAGCTTCACCTTTCATCCAAGGAGCCACTGGTGGGTTTGAACCACTGACCTTGTAGCAGCTCAATGCAGAACCCACTATACTACCAGGGTTCCTTATAGGCTAGCAGAGGTTGGAGATCCAAGTCCATGCAGGCGTACCTCAGTGGAAAGGCTGGCGATCTACATGCATGAAACCAGCCACTGACAACCCGGTAGCGCACAGCTCTGCTGGCAAGGATGGGGTGGCCTTGAGGCAGGGCCAGCTGGACAGCAGCTGGTGGTGGGGAACTTTCTAAAGAGGCCAAGGGCAGCAGGAAACCCGAGGGGAGAGGGCTTGCCCCACCAGGAGCTACTTTCTAAAGGAGCGGGCCGTCACAGCTACCTGCCAGCCTTAGGGACAAAGAGATAGCCTTACCTTAGCTAGATGGCTCTCCAGGAGCCCTAGTGGTACAGTGTTTAGTGTTGGGCTGCTAACCCTGTGAGGTCAGGAGTTTGAAACCACCAGCTGCTTCTAACGAGAAAGATGAGGCTCTCTACTGTGAAGAATGACAGTCTCGGAAATTCACTGGGGCAGTTCTACTCTGTCTCTTTGGGCTGCTGTGAGACAGAACCAACCTGATGGCAGTAAGTTTGGGTTTTCTGTTTTGTTTTGGCCTGGTGCACACAGCAGACGCTTCCCTTTTTGCAAAGCGTGTTGGTCCAAACAAACTCCTGCAAGAGCCAGCTAGAGGGGCGGGGAGCCTAAGGTCACTATGCAAAGTCCTGCCTTAGGCGCTTATCAAAGCGGTGTTAGCCTCCCTCCGGGTGGACTGCGGAGGTGGGGCTGTGAGTGTCAGATACCAGGAACTGGCAAGGCAACTCTTTCAATGAAAGGACGATTATTGTCCTGCAGTCTGCAGCACATTCTCCTTTATCTCTATAGCGTACTGAGCGTTGGCGATACTTAGAATAAGCATGGACAGATGAAGACACACACCCCGGGCATGTCTCGTACATTGCCCGACGTCACATAGCTCTAAGTGGGAGTAGGGCCAGGACTGGGCACAGGTCTGATATTTTCTCAGCACAACCCCTTCATGCCCAGGACTTTGTCAAAGCCTGGCTGGGTGAGTTAGACCAGTGGGTCCCCACACCAATTCATCTGGGGGGTGTGGTTCTTGTTTTTGTGTTGGTTTTTGTCTTTAATAAATATAGGTTCTCGCCTTCTGATTTATTAGGTCTGGGGTCAGTTCTAGAAATCTGTTGTGTTTTGTTTGTTTGTTTGTTTGTTTGTTTGTTTGTTTTAACCTTCTCCGGGTTTCTGAGAACAAGGTTTAGCAAACCCAGGTTTTCCCATAAGCACTGTGGTGGGTTCCAGAAGGGTTCTGAGTCAGCCTGTACCCACTCTTTGTTTTCTCTGGACCCTTCAGGCCTGGAGGAACTATGGTGACCTACGGGGGGATGGCCAAGCAGCCCGTCACAGCCTCTGTGGTAAGCTGATGGGGACCCCACCTCAGCCAGGCCTCCCCACCGACACCCCAGCCATCTCGCCTCAGGCACCATCCCTGTCCCTGGGGCTAGCTGGGCTCTGTGCCCCTCACCAGTATCTGCGTGCCCTTCCTTGTCCACAGAGCCTGCTCATTTTTAAGGATCTCAAACTCCGGGGCTTTTGGCTGTCCCAGTGGAAGAAGGCCCACAGTACAGGTGAGTGGACGCTGACTCCAGTGCCAAGGCTCAGGGGTGAGTGAGGTGCCTAAGGAAGGCTGCAGAAGTTTCCAGCCCCTGCTGAGCCCCAGTCTCCAAGCGAGACAGAGGGAAGTGCGTCCAGCAGGTTCAGCAAGCAGCTCTCGCTGACATGGGTTAGTGCTGGCTGCTAGCACAGTGCTGAACCTGACAGTCCCCCCACGCCCAACCTGGGATGCTGCCGGGTAAGATAGGAGCCCGCCTGCCTGAGTGCAAATCCTGCACCCACCTGCCCTGTTCAGAGGCTCTGCCCAGTCCAGCCATGGCGCCTTGGGCAAGTTACAGAATGTCTGTCTCTGTTGAAGTGTCTTAACTCTGTGGGACAGAGGAGGAAACAGTCCCAGTGGTTAGTAGCTAGCCCAGGGCATGGGCCAGCCAGGATGTGAACAGCCAGTCCCTCTGGCTCTGGAATGTGAGCCAATGTGCAGTCCTTCCTCCTCAAAGCTGTGCAAGAGCAAGAGTGGTGACCAGATGGAGTGCTTCAGGCAGAAGAAACGGGCATGCCTTGCCAGGGCTCTGAAAGTGTCTCTGGGCAAGGGGAGTGTTGGGCTGAGCAGGGGCCCCGATGCCAGTCAGGGTCGCAGCTAGCTCCTGGAGGCCTTGATAAGGAGTTCACACTCCCTCTTGAAGCGTTGGGGAGTTGCTGAAGGAGGTTTTCAGCAGGAGGTGATAGGTAAGATTGGGTTTGAATGTTTGAGTCAATCCGTGTGTGTGTGTGTGTGTGTGTGTGTCCATCCCCGTCCACAGCCCTTCTCCCAGGACTTCCCACTTCATCTTCCTGCACCACCCTGGGTCCTCAGGAGGAGGCAGACCGGGAGGAGAGGGTGGCTTCTGAGGCACACCGGGGCTGTCAGGGCAGGCTCCTTTCCTAGACAGAGCTCATTAGCTCCGCATCAGCCCGTGTGCACACTTACCTGCTGCTTGTGCTGCCCAGTAACCTACCCCTCCCATGGTTCAGGACTCCCAGTTACACCCCAGTCAAGCTCTAGCCATCTCTGCCACCACTCTGAAGGGTACTCTCCGTCTGTACACAGCTCCTGGGGCTGTTGCCCATGTCCCCCTGCCCCCACCCAGGTGGCCTCCACACCCCCCTGTACCTGGGCTTTACTGGAGCCTCCCCATCTTTGGGCCCCCTCTGACATCCCCTCCCTCCCTCCACAGAGCAGTTCAAGGAGCTGATCCTCACCCTGTGTGACTTCATCCGCCGAGGCCAGCTCGCCGCCCCGGCCTGCTCCGAGGTCCCCCTGCAGCACTACCAGCAGGCCTTGGAAGCTTCCATGAGGCCCTTCGTGTCCTCAAAACAGATCCTCACCATGTGACACCCACAGTGGGAGGGGAGGGCTCACATCCCTTCTCCAGGCTATTTATTTCCCAACTGCTGCTGCCCACCGGGAGGACTGGAGACCAGGGGGCTTCTTGAAGGCCAGCCTGCTCCCGTGGGCCCAAGAAAGTATGAACTTTCTAAGACAGCAGCCGTGCCCCGCCAGGAGGGCCACTGTGCCCCGCCCTTTCAGCCCTAGGAATTTCTATCTCCCCTCTGCTGCTGCTGTTCCCCCAGAATCACTTCCAGACCACCTGAAAGCAAGGACAGCGCTGGGGCACAACCAAGGAGAGGAAGCTCTCTGCTCTCGAGCTTCCCAGGCCCACGGAGAAGAGTCTTGTGGAAAGGAAGGTTGGACTCGCTCCCAGGCACCCGACTGCCAGCCTGAGGGCACTGCGGAAGCAGGGCCACTGTCCTGCCGGAGCACTCTTCTCCCAAGGGATCTCAACCTTACCCTCAGGGGCGTCAATCCCTGTCTGGAGACATTTTTTCTGTTGTAGCAGATGGAATGCAGGCATGTACACAGCAGCCCCTGCAACAAAGAGTCTGCAGGCTACATGGTCCTAGTCTTGCTGTTGAGAAACTGGTCCCTAAACATGTTTGGAGCCCAGGGCTGCACAAACTCCCAGACACATTTCCTGATGAAAGTGTGTACTGAGAAAGTTAACAAGTCGTAATGCTAGTGAGAAATGCTCAGGGTGGTTGTTCGCCAGGAAATGTTACAAAGTTGCAGGTCTGCCAGTAAACACCCAAGGGACATGCCCCTCTGCTGTAAGCCTTAACCAAAGGCGTTCAGCTCAAGGTCTGAATCAGCAGCCCCAGCTCCCTGATTTAAGTGCCCAGAGGTACCCCACTCCGCAAGCTCAGCCTCCTGCGCAGAAGCACTCAGCTTACTTGCTCTGTGGGTTGGGAAGACTTTACTCTGTTCCACGCTCTCTCGCGCTCCTGGCTCTCCTGCCGCTTCTCTGATGGAGCGACCACCTGGATCGAGGAGACTCACTGAGCAGGTCTCTCAGGTCCAGAGAGCGTGACGTGGTTCACTCCTGGCCCTTGCTGGTAAGGAGATGCCTGCTGCCACTTCTCGGAGGGCTCATGGTACACACAGCGGGTAGTACACCAGAGAATCCTATTCACAATTTCTCACAGGGGAATCCAGTCTGTAGCTTCCCTCACCATCTTAGGAGACTCATATTAGAGATTTTGACTAGAAGAACCCCATTAAATAATTTACCGCCCCTGCAGCTTGCTGGTTGATCTCCGTACTCAAAGCAGAGAACAGAGACTGGGGTGTCCTCCCTTGTCACCTGACCCTCTGCGCACATAACTCAGGAGCCTCACTCAGGTGTGCCATGGAGCTGGTGCTGGGATGTCACTGAGAATCCTGCCGAGCCTGGTGAGGGGACACCATTACAGTGCACCCTTGAGGCCACGCCTGAGGGGCAAGGAAGGCTGGCCAGAGGAAGTGACCATAGCCAGTCTTGAAAGCACAGGAGGAGTGTGAAGGCCTGAGAGCCTTCCAAGACTTGAGCAGGCCCTGTGATGTGGGGAGAAGGTGAAGCCAGGTGCGGTGCTGGGGAGGGGGGCGACGTCAGAGAGCTGAGCCTTCGATATGGACTCCGCCTGAAGGCCTGCAGCACTGGCGGGTTTTAAACAGCAGGATGGCCTTGAAACACCGGCTTCGAAGGCCCACGTAGACACGTGGTCCACTGTGAGCAGTGTGGAGGGCTGCCTGCTCTAATCATCTTGCTCTTGGAAGGAATGTGTTTGCTCCAAGTCCTCCAGAGAGAAGGGTTCACTTCAGCCAGGTGTGCCTCACCTCCTCCTGCCCCTGGGCTCAGGGTCAGCCCCCCCTCTGTCACAGAACCTGAGGGGAGGAAGCTGCCCACAGGGCAGAAAGTGAACCCAAGGACAAAAAGGAAGGGCGTGCTGAGCCTGTGGCCATAATAAGGGCACAGACCCCTCTGAGCATAGACAAGGCAAGTGACTATTGATAACGTGGTTAGAAAGCTCAAAAGGGCTTCTGGCAACAGTGGAGGGGTTTTTATTACACCCATAATGGTCTAGAGAAGCCCTGGAGCAGCACAAACAGTTACGATGCTCAGCTGGTAAGCAAAAGGTAAGTGTTAATCCAGCTGGAAGCATCTCAAAACAAAGGCCTGGCCATCTGAAAACCGCAGCCCCTGAATACCCTGGAGGGCACACTTCTACTCAGTACAAGGGAGTGCAAACACGAACACAAGTCTGAATCCGGAAGGCAGGAGTCTGGGGATGACTTTGAGTCTGTCTTAAAGGGAGAGGAGCATCACCAGCCAAGGGACCATCCAGATGCAGCAAAGAGAGAACCTAAGTGTCAGAAATGTCTAACGTGCCCCAAGCCGGAGTTCCCTCAGAAGTGAGACGCACGTTTCGGTGGGCAGATGCGGCTGAAATGCACACACATCTTCAGCCTCTGGCAGCTGACAAGCTCTGCCCTGGGCCAGGGGCACAGAGGTGGTGGTGGTGGTGCCATCGAATCAGTTCCAACCCAGAGAGCCCCTGCACAACAGAACGAAATGGCCTGGCAGGCACTGTGTCCATTTGTTGAGGCCTTCCCCTTCCACTGCACCTCTACCGAGCATTATGTCCATCCCCAGGGACACACCTCACATGCAAACACATACAAAATAGGTCAGACAAAGGCTCACCGTCCAAGCCTCTTCAGGAGCACTCTGGCTGTACTTCCAAGACAGATCAGTTTGTCCTTTTAGCAGTCCATGGTCCTTTCATTCTCCACCACCAGGATTCAAATGCATCGATTACTTTTCGGTCTTTCTTATTAATACCTAATTTTCACTTGCATATCAAACCATTGAAAATACCATAGCTTGGGGTCAAGCATACCTTAATCCTCAAAGTAACTTCCTTGCTTTTCGATATTCGAAAGAAGTCTTGTGTAGCAGATTTGCCTAATGCAACACATCTTCTGATCTCTTGACTGCTACCTCTATGAGGGTTGATTGTGGTTCCAAGCAAGACAATAGCCTCAACAGCTTCAGCCTTTTTCCCATTGATCATGATGGTACTTGTCCATTTATGAGGATTTTGGTCTTTACATTGAGCTGTGATCCACACTGAAGGCTTCAAACCTTCATCAGCAAGTGCTTCAAGTCCTTATTTTAAAGCAAGCAAGGTTGTGTCATCTGCATATTGCAGTTTGTTAATAAGCCTTCCTCCAGTCCTGATGCCACATTCCTCATAAAAGCTAGCATCTCTCATTTGCTCAGCATACAGATTGAATAAGTTTGGTGAGAGAATAGAACCCTGTTGCACACCTTTCCTCGGTTTAAGCCATGCCCTTCTGTACCCACCGCCTCTTGATTCACGTGCAAGTTCCACGTGAGCACAATGAAATGTCCTGGAATTCCCATCCTTAAGGTTATCCATAGTTTATGATCCACAGAGTCCAGTGGCTTGGCTTAGTCAATGAGCCACAAGCAAACATCTTTCTGGTACTCTGAGCCAAGATTAATCTGACATCAGCAATGATAAACCTTGTTCCATGTCCTCTTCTGAGTCTGGTCTAATCCTCTGGTAGCTCCCGGTCAATGTGCTGCAGGATTTTTAGCAAAATGTTACTTGCATGTGATATCACTGATATCGTCTATAATTTGAGCCTTCTTTGGGGTTACCTTTGCAATGAGCATAAATAATATGGATCTCTCCTAGTCAGTTGGCCAAGTTGCTATCTTCCAAATTTCCTGGTATACAGAGAGATGCTGGGGTCAGATCAACTCGATGGCAGCGAGCAGGCTTTTATTGTTAGGTGCTCTCTAGTCAATTCTGACTAGAAGTGACCCCAAGTGCCAGAGTAGAGCTGCCCCATAGGGTTGTTGAGATTGTAATCTATGGGAACAAATCACCAGGCCTTTGCCCTTGGAGTCTGAGTGGGTTCAAACAGCCAAGCTTTCATTTAACAGCCAAGCTCCTGATTGTCGCACCACTTTATAAAAACCCATTGCCCATTCTCGGCAAGGATGTGGGGAAATGGGTGTTGGATTTGAGAGAGGGGCCTAGTCTTACTCCCTGCCTGCTGCTGCCCCTGCGGAGCCCCGCAGCCCAGGGTTTCCTGTGAAGGATTGTCCAGGATTGGGGGTGCTCTTACCCTCTCCCTGCCGTAGACCTAGAAAGTAGGGGGCTGGAGGGGCCTGCCTAGGCTAGTAGGGCCCTTGTGAGAGGGTGACCCAAGCCCAGTCCCCAGTGAGGCCCTCTTCTCGTGCCCCTGACTCTGAGAAGGTTGCCTAATGAACAGAGGATTCCTTTGGGAGGGAAGTCACTCTTGCCACAAGGCTGGTTGGCACAAATTTGACTCTACTGTTTGCTGGGGAGGTGCTGAGAGGTGCATGGAGTCCCCCAGAAGGCCTTCCACGGGCAGTGTACCTCCCCCCATCCCAGAGCCCTGGGTCTGGAGCTGGAAGCTTAAGAGAGGCTGACAGCGATGGATGGGCAGGCTGTTTGCCCAGAGATCAGAGCTGCCCCCCACCACCACCCCTTACAGGGGACTTCAACAATTTGCCCCCACCCTCAGGGAGCCTGTTCACACATTGAGCTTTGCTCCAAAGCAGGTGGGGGAGGTACACCCTCACCCCCACAGTGGCCGAATTTCCTGCTCTCTGCCTGCCCCTGTGGTTCCTGGTCTGGGAGGGGGTCCATGGAGTACATTTCAGATGCCAAGGTGCTGAGGACCTGTGTGGGTCCCCAGAGTGCTTGCAGGAAAGTTGCTGTCTGTCTCACTGCCCCCGCCACCCCTCTCCAGGGAGCCAGCACACTGCAGGTCCCTGGTGTCCCCAGGGCACAGTGGGCCACGGTCTGGCCTTGACCAGAGGGGCCAGGGAGTGAGGAGGTTCTCTCAGGTGTGTGTATGGGGGGTGGGGAGGGTGCGGGGTGTCCAGGAAGCAGGCTGGGATCCCAGCTCTGGGGGTGGAAGGAGCTCCTGCTGGGC